CAAACAATATCAATAAGATACACTAACCCCGAACGTGTATATGAATGATATGATCCTTGTTTATAAATTCCAGTTGCATAAGGTCTTTTTTAGTTTTTACAAGCTTTCGTCTGTTCCTACAGACATCCTCAGGTATGGAAATAGATTTGTTCTTGTTTTTTTACTTCTCGGTAATAAGAGGACAACGAAAATATAGATGTAATCCGAAAAAATGCTATGAGAAATGTGTTATTGTTTTGGAACGTGCGGTCGCAACGCTGAGTTTGAATTTTAAATTTTAAGGTTGTGCGTTTTTGTACAAATATAGTAATAGGAGAATTCTTTTGTACTGGTAGGTTTTCCGTCAGTGTGGCATGAACTATATTGTTCAATAATTACAGGAATGTCACACTTATTATCCGAAAGTTGCACGTTGGATCAGTTATTATATTATATTGTTCTTCTAATGCTGGTGGGGGTGACGAGACTTTCGGACCACCCGATAGATAGATAGATAGATAGATAGATAGATAGATAGATAGGAGGGATGGTTTATGTCCCATTCTGTTCGAAGTTTGCGCCTTAAAACAAAAGATGACGATTGACATTGCATTTAAATTTTTTTCAAGATCAAAGTCGACAGGAGGTCAAGAGGCCCGTAGTTAGAAATGTAAGCGAAGAAACTTTTAGCATAGAACTTACGGTTACATCGAGCAATTTCAACTGTAAAATTATGATTCCTAGTTGCCAATGTACAGGGTGTTTCGAAAGTCTTGCCGCCGCTACAAAATATAATTTTCTATTTCAACGCCATGTGGGGTTATTATCATGGAGAAAGTTTCACATGAACGATATCCAGAATATGCATCAGTTGAAAGACATATTTCGGAGAACCTTTGCAACAATCAACAAAGCACAGCTTCGTAAAATATCACACAGGACATAGCACCGCATCATACACACCTTCTCGATGTGTGAAAGCGTCAATGAAAGTGAATAAATTGAATCCAGTACATGTGCTTTTGTATTACTGTATTACTTGTTGTTCTATTGTTCTTATTACTTTTTGGTAGGGGGTAACAAAACTTTCGGACCACCCTGTATGTATATATATATATATATATATATATATACAAACAACCTACATAGAAAAATTTTTTAGAAAAAATCTTTATGTATACAAGTACAAATTTTAACGGCGAAACAAAAGTGCTGAAAAAATTTTTGTTGCTGAAAATGACCAGACGACATTCATTGAACGGATGTCATCATTCGTTGGAAAAGGCACACTTACCCTACCTAGACTTAACCTCATTTCGAAAGTAACTCATATTTTGATACAATAGTTGTTAGTGAAAACGAATACTCTACTACTCTCGTTAAAAATGATTGGATTTCCCCGTATCCCTAGAAACTAATATTATGAATGTATGTGCTTATAAAACTTAAAAATCCTGTGTAGCGATGGAACCATATTTTTAAATTAGTAAATTTATAATATTTATGATATGTAAATTTGCATTGAGCACTGTTTTGTAAAAATAAAAATATTAATAAGAACACCGGATTATATATCTTAATGTACTTTCTCTTGATTACAAAACATATATATATGTGTGTGTGTGTGTATGTATATAAATATAAATATATGCACACACATACACATATATATATGCAATTTATATATATATTATTTATCTATTATATATGCGCGGTACTTACTGGAAAGCGCTCCATAGCAGTGATAGAGCTATATATATATATATATATATATATATATATATATATATATATATATATATATATATATATATATATGCCATTTTATATATATTATTTATATATTATATATGCGCGATACTTATTGGAAAGCGCTCAATATCAGTGATAGATCTAACATATTTAGTTGGATTGATGTGAGTTTGTTCTTATAAATTGGATTGATGCGAGTTTGGCTGTACTTATAAATTAAGCAAATTTCTTGATAGGTTATTCCAAAAATCACTTGAGAATGGAACGGAGCTATAGATTTTAAATCTAATTTTATAATTAAATTTAAAATTTTAGTTTCTGTTTTAAAACAGGGTAATTCCTTTGTAGCGATGGAACTATATTTTTAGAATAGAAAATATTTATATATATATTGTCAGCTGTCAATATATCACATAACACCCTTGAGCGCTTAGCCTTGGAGCGGGTAGAATGGAGTTAAACGTATGTTAGTGGACTCAGTATTTTTCAATTTGCTTGTCTGAATCATCTTCAAGAAGCGAGAGCAAGATTTAAAAGGTCAGGCAATCTAACAGGGATCTCATCTCACAATCGTCACTCTTGCTCCATATGTTGCCTCCTTTGTAAATCACTAGCGGGTCCTAAGTGCCACTTAAGATTATCGCACAAAATTTCGTAAGCTGTCAGATCTTCATACGTCGAAACCGACGGGAGAGTCAATTATATATATATATATATATATATATATATATATATATATATATATATATATATATATAAAGACGCAAGTTTTTTTGCATTGGTGAAACACTCGAAAATTATATTTTACGGCATAATAGTTAATATGCGAATCAAGATGAGGATATACGTTTAGTATAACGAGAATCAAGTTTATGTCCAGGCCTCATCTTTGACGTCCACTTGCGCACAAATGTCCTTTGGAAGAGTATAAATACATCTCTTCTCTTCTCCTCTCAGCTATGGATTAAATAGTAGGGTAGACTGGGATCTCAAGCATTGGATGACAGCCAATGTACGAGAAAGACAACTATGAATTCAAAACCGTGGAGAATGCAACGGAAAACCACTTCCTATTTTTTCCAAGAAGTCATGGTAGTTCATTAAATAATAAAGTAATAATGCTGTGGAGGGCCGTGATCGGTAGATAGCATTAAAAAAGAAGAAAAAAAGCTTTGTTATTTAAACCAGATATCTCATTCAAAATGTATAGTAAAAAGTCTCCATCGAATTATTTCTTACGATGGAGACTTTAGTCCAAAATGAAAGAAATTGTTTACAGTAAAGAATCGTCTTCATATTCTTCGTAGCAGCGAATCTCACGGAGATATGATTCTACCTACAAATGCGCAAAATACCATGGATAGTGCATGTGAGAAAAGAGGAAGTTTTAAGCATTTTAGGAGACAGAATGTACAAGAAGAAAGAGATAAAAGTTTGGAAAGGCATAATGAAGAAAGAAAGCTTGGCGATTGCTAATTTAACACTCACAGGATACATAGAAGGAAAGAGAAACTGGAGAAAACAGATAATAAAATACTTAATGTTTTTGAATGGCAGACTAAAGTCCATAAAAACATGTGATTAATATTCGGTACTGAATTAAGTGAATTGGCAAAGAAGGACATTATGTTCAAAAATAAATATTTATGTTTTTTTGTTTTTTTGTTTTTTTTTCACATGAGACTGCAAACGCGTTGATTTACTTTCGCCATGATTCATGAAAATAAATTTTAAAATTAAACAAAATTATTTGTTCAGGAAATTTATTTCACGATTTCCTCAATCACTTTTCGTAACAATTAAAAAAAAAACTTAAAATTTCCTTCACTTCTTTATATATTGCTTTGTTCCTTTCTTTCTCTCTTTATTCATCCACTTCTTTTTTCTCTCTCCCTCTCTTTCTTTCTTGCATTCTTTCATTCCTTCTTTTTTCTTCCTTTCTGTCTTCATTCATCCATTTGTTTCCTTCTTTCGTCACATTTTCACTTCTTTTTCTTTCATTCAACTTTTGTTCGTTCTCGTTTCCTTTTTGCATTGGATTTTTCTATTTCTGTCATTCTTTCTCGCTCCTTTTGTCTTTTTTGTCTTCGTTCTCTCTTCCTTATTTTCTTTCTTTTTTTCTTTTTTTATTCCTTCTCTCTTCTTTCATTTGTTCCTCTCTTCCTTCATCCTTTTCTTTCTTTCTTTTTTCTTTCTTTCTTCTTTTCTTTTTTCTTCTTTTTCTCTTCCTTATTTTCTTTCTTTCTTTCTTTTTCTTTCTTTCTTTCGATTTTTATTCCTTCTCTCTTCTTTCATTTGTTCCTCTCTTCCTTCATCCTTTTCTTTCTTTCTTTCTTTCTTTCTTTCTTTCTTTCTTTTTCTCTTCCTTTTTCTCTTCCTTATTTTCTTTCTTTCTTTCTTTCTTTTTCTTTCTTTCTTTCGATTTTTATTCCTTCTCTCTTCTTTCATTTGTTCCTCTCTTCCTGCATCCTTTTCTTTCTTTCTTTCTTTTTCTTTCTTTCTTTCTTTTTATTTCTTTCGATTTTTATTCCTTCTCTCTTCTTTCATTTGTTCCTCTCTTCCTTCATCCTTTTCTTTCTTTCTTTCTTTTTCTCTTCCTTTTTCTCTTCCTTATTTTCTTTCTTTCTTTCTTTTTCTTTCTTTCTTTCGATTTTTATTCCATCTCTCTTCTTTCGTTTGTTCCTCTCTTCCTTCATCCTTTTCTTTCTTTCTTTCTTTCTTTCTTTCTTTCTTTTTCTCTTCCTTTTTCTCTTCCTTATTTTCTTTCTTTCTTTTTCTTTCTTTCTTTCGATTTTTATTCCTTCTCTCTTCTTTCATTTGTTCCTCTCTTCCTTCATCCTTTTCTTTCTTTCTTTCTTTCTTTTAATTCTTTCTTTTTCCCTTCCTTATTTTCTTTTTTCTTTCTTTGTCTATTCCTTTTCTCTCTTCTTTCTTTCTTTCTTTCTTTCTTTCTTTCTTTCTTTCTTTCTTTCTTTTCCCTTCCTTATTTTTTTTCTTTCTTTGTCTATTCCTTTTCTCTCTTTCTTTCTTTTTTTCATCGATCTTTATTCATTTATTCTCCTTTCATTCCTTCCTCTCTTCCTCAATCTCTTTCTTCTCTCTTTCCTTCCATCTTTTCTTTTTTCTTTCCTTTTGTTCTTCCATTCTTTCTTTTTTTTTCTTTCTTTACTTACCTGAATAAGCACTCTCCCAAGGATACATAGCTCCCTTATAACCCTTCATTACAGCTCGGGCTTTAGCAGCATCTAAGGTACGTGTGCGACTCAGCATTAACACTTTGCCAAGGTCTGCATGCAACATAAGAATGCTAGGATACATCCATGTATCCTGGTCCCAAAAAACATGGCCACCGTAATCCTAGAGGTGAAACAATGAAGTGAAAAAAACGAAATGAGACAATGAATAACTGAGCAATGGTAAAAAAAAAAAAATAGGACTAGATGAGTTATCCCAAGACATGGGGAGCAGAATGAGAATAACCTAGCCTTGTTGATTTAAAAGAGTTCAGCTTGAAATTCCCTGTAAGTTATCCGGATCGACATACAGCTGATGAAGACCGGAGGGAACAACGGTCGAAACGTTGATAGTCAAATTTAATGATGATTAAAAATGCATCATCTTTTTTTTTTTTTAATTCGATAAAAATAACTTCATGATAATAATATTACTACAAATATTGCTAGTGTAGATAAAAACAATACCGTCCTGGGTAAGATGATAAATTACACCTAACAGCGAGGCCTCTTATCAGGAGGTTTTGAATAAGAATAGGAACTACCTCTTAATTGCTGTTGTTCCCAGGTCCACTCTAATCCGGAGTGGTAGCACCTGTTGTGCAATTCACTTGACTCACTTCTAGCAGTTGACTACTTCTACGCGCTGCTGGCAATTCTTATATGCGTTGTTCTTGTCTTTAATATTATCGTTTATTACCAACCTTCGTGTGATTATTCTATTCAGCAACCTTCCCTAGGTTACAAAATTCTCAAAGAATTGTTAATGCAACATTTACTACCCGCCCCCACAAAAAATATTCTTGCAATCCAAAAAACATGTTTCAACTTTAAATAAACCAAAATGGTTGATAATCCGTAAAAACAAATCAATCAAACTACATCTTTATAATCTTCATTTCATACTTCTTCCTCTTGTGGCCATAGCACACATCTCACTGAGTAACCCATTACCTTGAGTGGCTCTTGGGTCTTGTATTGGTGGGGGGATATTAATAAAAGAAATATTATGATCTTTTTTTTTCTCTTTTGTTTTTTTCTGTTAAGAATAAGTATGAAATCGACATCATATATACAACACTATGGTCCACTTAAGATGGGGTTAGGAAGTGAACGCTTTTGAAACACGGCAAATTTCATTATGACCTTTTTCTTGAACGTCCATTGTGGTATAGCAGCAACGGGTATATAGTAACGCTATATAGCCACAACAATAGCTAATATTATTTTGAGAATCAGTACCAATCAACCAGTCTCTTCGTCTAAGAATATATAATGAAAACATACCTTGACAGTCCCATGAGCCAAACCTCCAGGAGAAAGGCCGACAAAACCCGGCCATTTGGTTTTCTCTCGTGTGGGTAAAGAACTGTAGAGATAATATTGGGCAGCGTATGTCACCTGTGCGAGGTTCAAATCCCCTTTGATGTCTATATAGCCTTGTTTCCAGAGGGCTTCCCAGGCCGATTTGTGATGTGCGAACAAGGTTTGCCTTTCCGACCACACTTTAGCTGCCAGTTTTAAAACAACAATGAATAGTATTTTTTCATTTGAATAAAAACGGAACAGAATATCCTGGATGATATAATAAAATGGTTATCTAGTTAAATAACGATGCTTGAATAAATTCACGCTTGAAATTTAAAGTACTTGCTAGAAATATCGTTTATAAATATGAATGAGGTATAATATTTATCATTTATAACATTTTTACGTTTAAAATTGCTATTTTCTTTTAATATTCATCTTAACAAGGCTAACTTCAAATTAAAAACAGCTCAACAACTTCTAATTAAAAAAAAAACTCAACTTCAAATTAAAAAGCACAACTTCAAATTAAACAATCTCAGCTTCAAATTAAAAAAAAAGCTCGACTTAAACTTCTAATTAAAAAGGCTCAACTTGCAAATTAAAAAAATCTTAACTTCAAATAAAAAAAAACTCAACTTCAGATTTAAAAAACTCAGCTTCAACTTGCGCATTAAAATAGCTCAAATTCAAATTAAAAACGCTCAACTCCAACTTTTAATTAAAATGGCTCAGCTTGCAAATTAAAAGAAACTCAACTTCAAATTAAAAAAAGCTCAATTTCAAATGAAAATGTTCAATTTCAAATTAAAGAGCACATCTTCAAATTAAACAATCTCAACTTCAAATTAAAAAATAGCTCATCTTCAAATAAAAATTCACAACTCCAAAATCAAATTAAAAAGCTCAACTCCAACTTCAAATCAAAAAATTAAACTCCAACTTCAAATCAAAAAACTAAACTTCAACTTCAAATGATAAAAGCTCTATTAACCGCCGGATCCTCGTGAAGTCTTCCATTAACCACAGAGTAGCCGAAACATTTGAAAACTCATGTACAGACACATTTTGCATTATAATTGGCACAGCAAGATTTCAAAATGGTGGACAACGTGGGATGTGGTTGCATGCGAATTATCCGTCTGTGGTTATATCGTTTATTCCTTTGTTTCTAAACTAATACTGCATATTTTTACATTATTCTTCTTCTTCTTCATCTTCTTCTTCCACGTGCCATGTCTCTCCATGACATTGGCGATCATAGCTCTCCCCAATTTCCTGTCTTTTGTAGCTCTTAATAAATGCTGTTATCTCTCCTAAATCTTGCTCCGCCATCTGTTTACTCAAGCTTGCTAGGTAGCTTATCCATTTTTTTCCTCTGTCCCTCTTGCCTTTAATCTGTCCTGTGAGTATCAATTTTTTCAAGCCCTCTTTCTTCATTATGCGCCCTAGAAATTTCAACTCTCTTCCTGATGCTAAATATAAGTCGCCTTTTTGTTGTCATTTTCTCTAAAACTTCGTCATTGTTCAGTTCATGGTATCCTTAGCATCTTTCTGTAGAATCTTATTTCTGTTGCTTCAAGTCTCTTCTTCATCTGTGAAAGGATTGTCCAGTGTTCACTGTTATATAGAAGGACTGATATTACGTAACAGTTCAGTTTGAAGTTCAACTATTTTTAATTTGAGGATAAAAAGATGTAAACTTTAGAAGTTTTCTTTAAAAAACTGATATTAATTTCTATATTATTTGTTTTGAAATGTTCATCTAAAAAACATTTTCTTTAGCTTATGTTTAAAATAGCGAACTTTTCGATTCTTTATTTTGACCGAGAAATTTTGAATAGTTGAGCTTGTTGGAATTGGTTTTGAAAATAGTTCTACCATTTCATTGAAGATATCTTCTGCGAGATTAGCTTTTCATCCTTAAATGTCATTAAAACAAAATACAGAAATATAATGTATATCCGTCCTCAGTTCTCTGTGACAATGTCCTCAACTGAATCAAGATTAAATGACAAAGAATTAGGCTTATCTTTTATATTAGAAACATTATTGTCTTTAATCAATTTTCTTCATTATAAGTGATCATTGTCTTGCTCATTAAGACATCATTTTATTATTTTTATGAATTTTTAAAATAATTTTTTATTTATTTTCTAATTGTGTTTTATTTGTTTAAAATTAAAGATAAATTTCAGAAAATTTAAATGAAATGTCAATATTCATTTTCTGTCTGCTTGAATCCTATTATTTTATTGTCGTCTCTCCTTAATAATGATTTTTCTTAGATTCTTTCACTCACAGTAACCCTCTCGTGTCTTAGTGGCTTTATCGCCTTGCTTGGGGTGAAATGATAAAACGTCACGTTTATGTGATAAGTTATATTCGAATTTGAAGGAGTTTGAAGTCGTGTCAATGAGATTTTGATTTGGTGGGCTTATCATTTATTGCTCATTAATTGATAGTTTTAATTATTTTTGTTAATTTTCTTGGTTTGATTACTCTTTCTAGGTAGACGGTCCTGGATATAGACAATAAGTTAAATAAAACCAGTCGACTGAATGGAATAAATATAATTGCCTAAAATAGTGCTGCAATCGCATCATAGTATTTTGACAAATAGACCTGAGGCCTAGTTAAAAAATCGGATGGCCATAATTAGACTATTGTATCTAATTTATTAACAATTAATTGTCATTAGAGTGAATATATTCGCTTATTCAATGCGGGTTTAGCGGGATAATAGGCATGATTATCTCATTTAAATTATTAGTCGTTATTCTTAGGTTTTCTTTGAATACATTTTTACCATCGTAATTATCAACACTATAATGGGTTTATCAATTCTATTTATAAACTTATATTCAAGTCGTTGTCTGCCTCCATTATTGTGGATCCGATAAATAGTAGTCAAGCCAGAGAATAAGACATTCTTATTTAAATAATTCACCGAAAAGAAAGATATTCATTTTAGATACAATTATGGGGTGGAATTGGTAAAACGCTTCCGCTCATGGTATCAAAAGTTGGGGGAGAACTTAAAAGTGGTCTGTTCAGTAGTTGAGATGTTTTCGCTATACGAGAAAGGTTTTCAGCTTCTTTTATGTAGTGTTGGATGTCTCACAGAAGCGAGTTTGTTTTTCTTTTAAGCGCAATGCCTTCTTATTACAGTGTAACCCGGATATAAGAGACCCGGATATAAGAGAAACCCGGATATAAGAGAGATTTTATCTGGTCCCAAATTAGAGCCTGTGTTAATGTATATAAAACAGACCAAACCCGGATATAAGAGAAACCCGGATATAAGAGACTTCTTCTCCGGTCCCGACAACTCTCTTATATCCGGGTTACACTGTAGTTGATATATTCTAATTATAGTTCTATTTTCTATTCGAAAGTTATGCGTGATCGTCCTGCGCTGAAAAACTATATATTCTTGAGTTTTTCATGCGTAAAACGATTCTGCTTAAAGTATCTTTTAATATTGAACTCTACTTTCCTCCAGGATGATCGTTCTAGAGTTACATAATATACATTAACACATTCATCATTCATTTTACCCATCGAGTTTCATTCAAAATAATTTCATTTCTCTTAGGAGTGAATCACGTAACAGTGAAGTTAATCACTGATAGTTTTTTTGGTAATCATTGTCATATGTAACTTAAAGAGAAAATAATGACATAATCAAGATGTTGACACTCCACTCTAATTCAAACAAAAGGTTAGGAAGGAAGCCGCAGGCATCAATACTGAAAAGAGCTATAACAGTTACATGGTTTGAGAGACTTATTTTCCTGATAAATTGTTTTAATAGAACGATTTTATTATTTTTTAACCGAAAGAAATGAGGAGAACAGATACTATACTTTGATCCCAGCTCAATAGTCAAAGAGGGAGGAAAATCTTGAGTAACACTGGCTGTTCGGTCAATTCTAATATTAGCCATTTCCTCATTAAAAAAACATTCGGCATTCATTAACCGAACAGCCAATGTTACTCGAGTTACGCTCCCCCCTCTCTCTCGAACTCACTTTTCAGTCGTAACTGATCTAGCGAGACAACCATTACACCACGATGAGGTGCCTAAGAAGACTGCTTATATTACCATTACCATTTTTTCCAACTTTTAACTTTACTTGAAGCACCTTTTTTGAGAATCACAGCAATTTAAATAAAGTTGTTTAAATTAAACGGAAGAAAAATGAAGAGAAAAACATTTTCTGACTAACCTTTGTGGTATGCTTCAACGACTTTCTGTCGTGTTCGGCCGATGGCTGTAAAGAAAAACATTTTCTTGTAAGACTGGGAAGTTCGAACGGTGATCAAAGATGGAACGTCAGTAAACAGAATGTGAATTTGTGAAAGTTTCACATCGTACTCTTCTGGTTCCGTATTTGTTCCATGATAAAAGCTACAACGAAAAATAATATGTTTCCATTAATTATTCATCACCTATGATTTAGTGATTTGATCAGAAATCATAAAAAATTTGTACGAGAGGGTGCTGAAAAGTTCTAGATCCTACATCTCCAAATTTAATCAAATGACTAAACATCACATTATAATAATAGTGGTAAGAGTAATAGTAATTATTATCATAAACAATCTTTTTGGTCTGCATTTGTTTTATCATCGAATGTCTAGTCATAACCAAAGCGAAGGATGTGATTTTTGTTGTTTCTACTTAATTAAACAAAAGACAACTATTAACAAAAATGCTTGCTAGACCGATTTTGGGGATTTCCTGGAGAGATAGCGCACCAGATATATTATTTATTTGTTCTTGAGTTCCTTTCTTTATCAGACCCAAAGCTCCGACCATAACAGAAACAGTCTTAGTTTTTAAGTGTCACATTATTATTACTATTATTGTTTTTGTAGGACTTCTTGGCTTGTCTTATTGAGTCCAATGATGCTACTCCACATGAACTAGCTTAAATCCAAAATGTGAGTTTCAATCAGGTCATTATGTATATCTTGCTGCTACTGTTATTTTTCTTTTTCTAGCTTTTTTAGTCCAGTTTTCCTTTAGCCTTAAAACGAGTAATAATAGATGCTTCCTTATAAGGAAACATTTGGCATTCATTGGCCGATCAGCCAATGCTACTGTCGGTTGAAATTTATAAAATCTTTTTCTTAAAATTTTTTTCAAGAAAATACGTTTTTCAAGTCCAGTAACTGTTATCGCTCTTTCTAGTACTGATGAAGGCTTCCTTCCTAACCTTTTGCTTTAAGCAATGTGGAATGTTAGTATCTTGATTATATCATTATTTTCTCTTTGAGTTACATGTGCTATCCATTTTAGCTGTTGCTGCTGTTGATATTCCTCAAGTGATGTGGTTTATGTTATTGGTACGGTTCTTTGTGATTCTGTAGCGCCAGTCAACAATGTTCGAAGTAGGATTGTCCTTGCTAAGACCTACAGTTTTTCATTCGCTCGAAGCTTTTAATAATAATAATAATAATAATAATAAAAATAATAATAATAATAAAGACCAAAAACAAAAAAAGTGCCTCCTTATTGATATGGCAGTCCCTGCAGACTGCAATGTATCTTTGAAGATCTTCAAAAAGCTGTCAAAATGCAAGGACCTTGAAATAAAAATCTCGAAAATGTGGCATATGGGAACATCAACAATCCGTGTTGTAGTTGGAGCCCTAGGACTGGTTGGAAAAGATTGCAGTAGACTAATTGAAGTGATTCCTAGAAGTCTATGCCGCAAAGAGATACAAAATTTGTTCTCACAAGTACAGCCCACACTTTACGAAGGGCTTTATCTATGTAATTTTTTTTCTGTCAGTGGAAAGTGTCATAATGCCATTTCTAACCTTAGGTCCCTTGGCGGGACCCGGAAAGAAATGTGTAAACTCCACAAATAAAAGGAAATAAAAGTAATAATAATCGTAATAAATTATCATAAAAGACAAGAAATTCAGGAAGTGTATACTTATTGACATAATGGTATCATCTGAGAGAAACACTTCCATCAAAATTATCGAGAAATTGTCCAAAAACAAGGACCTGGAGATCGAGATTAACAGAATGTGAAGAGTGATTGGTGAGACTGTACCAATAGTAATCGGAGTTCTGGGCTTCGTGAGAAAGGAATGGACAATTTTACTAACAGTGTCCCAGGTAACATCAACTTATAAGCTGCCCAGAAAATCGCCCTACTAGGAGTATCCCATATACTAAAAAAAGTGCTATCAATTAAATGACAATTCTCCTATAGGGCCTAAAGCCATAGTTTGGGCCTGGCTCTACAAGATACAAAGCAGAAAACTATTTACATTATTCGGACTATTGTCCTCATTTTTGTCACCATATTTATTACAACGTTTCGGCTGTTGTACGCTTCGGCCTTCTTCAGGTGGTTGGAATGTCGAATTGAACCCATTATTTCGCTCACTGAGGTAGACTGTTCTAGTTCCATGTGCCATGTTTAATGGATGTCAGTTATCAATTATCTCCTGTTAATTCCCCTCTCCAAGATCTCCACCGCCTTAAACAGGTATTGAACTCACACTGTCACTGAATGTAACTAACATCTTTATCCACTGTGCCATGTGTCCTTGAGGACAGTGGATAAAGGAGTTAGTGGTGTTTCTATATTTTAATTCTTCCACATCCAGTAACCTCTTTTGTCTCACTGGATTTAATGCCTTACTTGGAGTGAACTATTGTAGCCTAGCATCATTTTGTTGAAGCGCTGCTGACTCACTCAAGGACAAAAGTTCTGAGAAGACTGACATTCATTTTTCAGTGAAATCCCATAGTCTCTATTAATACCACGATTAGTACAACTAGTAATAGGTAGAAAAAGAAAACTAATATGATCAAAGTTAAAACTGTAGAATTAGTATTATTTTTTTTAATATTGTGTCAAAATGATGTAATAAAAAAAAAAAAAAAAAAACTTACGTTACATTCGGCATTCTTGCCATTTTACCCGGTTCGTATGTTCCCTTTAGGTCGGTGCTGTCAGTTAGGTTCATGTCCAAAGATAAATGAAGCGATCGGGAAAGATTGTGAACGATTTCCATCTCGACTACCATGACTTCCTCCAGTTTGCGATGGGCGTAGATACGCTGGACAATTTGAAAGTTTTTTCCCACCATTACTCTCATGAACACGCCTGAAAAAATATGTGTGTGTATGCTGTTGTGTGGTATACATATAGTGATTTAATAAGCATATCTTAAAAGTGGCACATGGTATGTAAGTGTTGTAAGTGTAAGTGGTATGGAAGTTGCTTAAGATAGATATATTCTTAATTTCCAAATACGACCAGTTCATAATTAAGAGAGAGAGAGAGAGAGAGAGAGAGAGAGAGAGAGATCCATGCATAATATATAGAGAGGATGAGAGAGATATGGACTCGCACGCACAGCTCCTTCCCCGACCACACACACACACACACACACACACGCAAACACATAACGGCTGTCGGTATATTAAAGGATATGACAATCACTGACAAATTTGATCCATGCTTTTAGTCCTCGTAAGAACGACAATGCCTCTTAAAGTCAGTAAGTGACGTGCAAGTCTTATTGCAGACGCAGCAAATGATTATTTTTTTGTACAGGGCCTGGCCTGTTTTGTAAATTCTGTTCAAGTTGCTCATGGATTTCCACGTGTAGGATGAGATAAGAGCGGTTTCTGCTGGTCTTCAGACACACACCGCAAATTATTTCCGGCGTAGTATTGATCATAATTCTTCAAACCTACCAACATGACACTTCTGACTAATGAGGTCTGCATTGGAGGGACATACTCTGATATATTTGTCTCAGGTAAATTGATGGACCTTATAGAGAACAATTTATCAAATGCACTAGTCATACACAGAAATAAATTCAACCAGAGTTTTGATCTAAAAATGCCACACTCATCAAAAGAGAAAGTAATTTACTCAGAATGAAAATTCTCGAGAGTGCTGGCATTGAATCTTATCACATTATAAATCTACGCCCCGGTTTCTTTCACTTTTCTTGAAAGAATTACTACTTTCCCAAGCCAACGTACGCGACCACAAACATGTCCCAAAATCAAAAGAAAACGGTTAAATCCATTGTCTCGTGTTTTTAAGATGTATAGCACGTTACGTGCATCTTATACCATAATATTCTAATCAGAATTTAGACAAAATTCAATATATATATATATATATATATATATATATATATATATATATATACTCGACTCTCCAGTCGAATACCACGTATGAGGGTCAAGCAGATTAGTTCCCAGGAAACCGACAGTCCGACAACAGCACATGACATTTGATTATAGTGGTGAAGGTTTTGTGCAGAAGCATCCACACTTTTTGAAGGGACGAATACAGAGACCTGGTGCATCGAGTGCCACAATTTCCCAAACGACCCTCTGCAGGTTTTGAATTCAGAGTTGTCCTTTTCCTAGACCAGTTGCCATTCCAAGGCTATAGAAACCAGTCTGTCCTGCTATTTACCCATAGCTGGATGGAGAAGAAGGGGATTCACACCTTTCCCAAGGGTATTAGCCGTTATCCATTACTACACCGTGCCTCCTTATATATATATGTATACACACACACACATATATATATATGTGTGTGTGTGTGTGTCTAAAGTGTGTGTATATAAATATAAATAAGAGCCACTAACTCACATCAACAATCATATCATATATATATATATATATATATATATATATATATATATATATATATATATATATATACTCGCTTACTTTTTGCCTTACCAGACTTTGAATTTTGACACTTAGATATCTTACTTTGAATTTTAACACTGTGTCCTCCACATGTTTTGGCTGACCTTTCAATCACCTGATGCTGATGAATATTCATGAACGTTCTCAAATTTAAAATGCCTTGAAAAGCCCTGATAAACCAATGACAACCTTACATTTCTACATAAACACGTGTAATAAAATAAATAAACACAGAGGATGAAACGAAACGACTAAGAATAGTTTTTTCCTCTTGCCTTTATATATATATATATATATATATATATATATATATATATATATATATATATATATATATATATAATTACATGAATCATTCATACAAAAAACAAATATAGAGGTTAATGATTTAAATGGCAAGAATACATCTTCGCCAACAATTTCAATAAGATACACTAACCCCGAACCTGTATATGAATGATATGATCCCTGTTTATAAATTCCAGTTTCATAAGGTCTTTTTTAGTTTTTACAAGTTTTCATCTGTTCCTACAGACATCCTCAGGTATGGAAATAGATTTGTTCTTGTTTTTTACTTCTCGGTAATAAGAGGACAACGAAAATATAGATGTAATCCGAAAAAATGCTATGAGAAATGTGTTATTGTTTTGGAACGTGCGGTCGCAACGCTGAGTTTGAATTTTAAATTTTAAGGTTGTGCGTTTTTGTACAAATATAGTAATAGGAGAATTCTTTTGTACTGGTAGGTTTTCAGATAATAAGTGTGACATTCCTGTAATTATTGAACAATATAGTTCATGCCACATTGACGGAGAATTCTTTTGTACTGGTAGGTTTTCCGCAAAATATATAAATATATATACATAGGTGCATACACATACATGTATATTTTTTGAATAAAAATTCCAAGAGGATAGAATCTAGGTAGAACTCAGAACAGAGTAAGGATATAATAAAAAGGCTTAAACACTAATATTCCATGGTCATAATTTATTCCAAATGGTTAATCATTTAACTCCCTTTTCATGAGTTTCATTCAGTATGAAATTTACACGCGAAGAAAGGCCCGACTTTTCACTGTTTCAAATGCTGGTTGTAAAAGAAACTTCTCAAAATTTAAACTAGGCATGGGTAACCTTTTTCGAGCAGTCGGCCGTCTGTTTTATGGCTCACTACAAAGCAGGCTGCACTACTAAAAAGAATCAAGCAAACTTTTCGTCGGTAGATACTCAATTATATTCATAAGTACCGGTATACTTCACAGTATATCGTTACTTAATTCCAGAGGTTATTCAATACCAACCCACGTAGTGTGTGTATGCGTAGGTGCGTACGTGGGTTCATATTGAATATCCCACGACCTTGTTGCTTTTTGCAGGTTTCTATACACAAAGTTAAACCTATGACTGTCTTGCCGATGTACACCTTACCCATGTTTCTAAACTAACACATTTTTTTTTAAGCATTACGCCCCGAGCAAGGCAGGAAGCCACTAGGATGCAGGGGGTTGCAGAAGATTTGGAGCGAGAGCAGATAGGAGTGATAGAAGAAAGGATGAGGAGAGGGATAGTGGATAGATCAAGTGGATAGATGTCGATTGACATTACATTTGAATAGTTAGAGATTATAGCTGTCAGGGAAACTAATTGGGAAGGGTGTTCCACAGGCGAGAGGTGCGAGGTATGAAGCTATTGGAGTAGAAGAGACGGCCACATTTAAAAGTTTCTACAGTGTAAGGTTGAGAGCGGGATGACAGTCTCGTAGGGCGCTTGAATTCATGGAGTCTGGGAACCAGTGAAAGCAGCTCATCGGAGCAATTACCGTGGAAGTATTTGTAGAAAAGACAGAGAGAGGCGACGGCGCATCTGTGAGAGAGTGACTGTAGACGAGATGCCAGATCAGGGCCAATTATATTACATATCCGTCTCTGGATCTTGTATCGTTATTCATACTGTCACTCTTATTCCTTTATTTTTGGTATTTTTTATTTGAATTTTTATTCGCACTCTTTACTCTCTAAGTTTATTTGTTTTATTGACCTATTTAAAATCCCTCCAATTGTATCTGACAATACTAAGGTAATTTCTAATCATTATCTGTACTAAGGACTATTTCATGAAACCAAACACCAGTCAATCCACTGCATAAACCAATTCACATAGTACCAAAAATTAAGAAAAATCTAGGCTGGTCAGAGTCTGCTAGAACGACTACTAACCCGCATTTTACTTTTTACCTTCTTCTTCCGCCAAAATCACCCGGTGTCCATCCGGTGTATTTTCTCCATTTACGGAAGAGCTTTCGATCCGAAGAGTTGAACATCTTGGTGTTCACGAAATAAATTTATAATCGAAATGGATAATTAAAGGCGAGTTTTATTTTTTCCATATAATATTTAATAAAAACCGACGTATCTTCAAAAATGACTTAACTCGAAACTACTTAAGCCGAGGTCTCACTGTATATACCTTAGAAAGGGCACCTCGAGGCGGCGTAATGATTAACAATCTTGTCTCGCTAGAACAATTACGACTGAGTAGTGAGTTCGATCCTCACTGGTCTCACAAAATTGAGTGAGTTCGATCTTCACTAGGTTTCATAAAATTTTCCACCACTTCTAAAGTATAGAGATTTTCCAAACGTCGCTTAGATGTGGCACAAGGCCGAAAGTATGGGACACCCATTGAGGGTTATTTTCCAAGCATAGCTTAGATGTGGCACAAGGCCGAATGTATGTAGCTACTTTCGGCCTTGTGACACATCTAAGCTACGTTTGGAAAATCTCTATACTTTAGAAGTGGTAGAAAACTTTGTTTTTTGTTGAGAAAATATTTTCCTATAATTAAAAAAAAATGAAGTCTTGGTATAATATCACCAATGACAGTGTGATTAATAGACGTCACTGTGTGATTTATTTGAAAAAAAAAATTCTTCTCAAGAGAAAACATTATTATGAATGATTCCTGTTTCAAAAGCAAAAGATATTTACCCGTCTGATCTTCCTTAGTGAAAATCGTCAGTGGTTTAAAATGATAATAACCTTACTTTCCCCGAAAGTTTACAAAATTCAAGAAACATTGTACTTAATCATTTGTTATATATGTGGTTATCCAAAACTAGTTTGTGAGTGAACAAGTGAGAACGAAACAATAAATTTTAAGAAACGTTCTTTGCTTCTGAAATTAACCATGACAGTGAGAAAGACAAGGCTGCAGTTTGCCCATGACTGACTTAAATTAATCAATAAGGCAAGAAAGACGAAGTAATCTATCAGTATAGCAACGGAAAAAGATTTCAGTGTAGATTCCAATATTGTTATTGAAAAACATTGCACAATTTGAAACCAGGTGATTTTAAATAAATTTGAATATATTACCATTAAATGCATTTTATTTTAATTAAATCAATATTTTCTAAAAA